GATAAAAAAGAACGAGCAAAGTTTCCAAGAAATATGGGACTATGTGAAAAGACCTAATCTATGCTTGATAGGTGTACCTGAATGTGATGAAGAGAATCAATCCAAGCTGGAAAATACGCTTCAGGATATTATTCAGGAAAACTTTCCCAACCTAGCAAGGCAGGACAAAATTCAACTCCAGGAAATACAGAGAACACCACAAAGATATTCCTCAAGAAGACCAACCTCAAGGCACATAATTGCCAGATTCACCAGGGTTGAAATGAAAGAGAAAATACTGAGGGCAGCCAGAGAGAAAGGTCAGGTCACCCATAAAGGAAAGCCCATCAGACTCACAGCAGATCTCTCAGTAGAAACCCTACAAGCCAGAAGAGAGTGGGGGCCAATATTCAACATCCTAAAGAAAAAAACTTTCAACCCGGAATTTTACATCCAGCCAAACTAAGCTTCACAAGCGAAGGAAAAATAAAATCTTTTGTGAACAAGCAAGCACTCAGAGATTTCATCACCACCAGGCCTGCTTTACAAGAGCTTCTGAAAGAACCACTACAAATAGAAAGGAACAACCAGTATCAGCCTTTCTAAAAATACCAAAAAATAAAGAACATCAACATAATTAAGAACTTGCATCAACTAATGGGCAAAACAGCCAGCTAACATTAAATGACAGTATCAAACACACATATATTGTTATTAATTCTAAATTTAAATCGACTAAATCCCCCAATCCAAAGACACAGACAGGCAAAAAAAAGCCAAGACCATTGATATGCTACATCCAGATCCATTTCACATGCAAGGATACATAAAGACTCAAAACAAAGGGATGGTGAAAAATTTACCAACCAAATGGAGAGCTAAAATAAATAAATAGAAAGCAGGAGTTGCAATTTTTGCTGATAAAATAGATTTCAATGCAACAAAGATCAAAAGAAACAAAGAAAGATATTACATAAAGATAAAAGGATCAATGTAACAAGAAGAGCTAAAGATCCTAAACATACATGCACCCAATACAGAAATACCCAGATATATAAGACTTACAAAGAGACTTGGACCCTTACACAATAATAGCGGGAGACTTTAACATCAATATTAGATAGATCAATGAGACAGAATGTTAGCATCGATATCCAGGACTTGAACTCAGATCTGGAACAAGTAGACTTAATTAACATTCATAGAACTCTCCACTTTAAATACACAAAATATACACTCTTATTAGTACTACATCACACGTATTTACAGGTTTAAATGAAATATTGGTTGGCTACTTGTTAATTATTTTCTTCCCTCATTTTTTTTTTTAATGTCTCTATTATTAAACACAATTACAGGCATACCCAGTTTTAGACTGCATTCTAGCCCGGGCAATAAAGCAACACCCCTGTTCTCTCTCCCTCTTCCTCTTCCTCTTTCTTCCTTTCCTTTATTCTTTTTTATTTTTATTTTTTTTAATTCTTTTTCTTCCTTTCTAAAAAAAAAAAAAAAAAAAAATCTCCCTCACACACACACACACACACACTCTCTCTCTCTCTCTCTCTCTCTCTCTCTATCTCCCCCTTTCTCTCTCTGAAGGGCCCTAATGCATGTAGTTGGTGACCCCCGTGAGAAGGAGGGTTGGCTTCTGAATGGCAGGAGTCAGGGAGTGGAGGGTGATGACCTGACCCTGGAATTTGGAGTGAGGTGAGCAGTCATCCCTCACCTGCTGCAGGGGCTCTGAGGGAGTGAGCAGCAGGGGGAGGCAGATGCCTGGCAGAGAGCCAGCCCAAAGAGCCCAGCAGGAGGAAGGAAGGGGAATGATGGGTGAAGGGAGACACACCTGCTGGAGGTACTCAGGAAGCCAGCTGTGAGGACAGCAGACACTGCCACCGGCATCCTGGGGTCACACGTTTGTCTTCACTGCTCAGGGTTTTGTGTGATGTGGGCAGGAAGCCTCTTTCAGGGAGCAGGTAGGATGTGGTGTCTTGATGTCCTGGGGACCAAAGTGTGGGAGATGAAGCACTGGGGGTCTCACATGGTCTCTTCGGCTCAGAGTGTAACTGACAACTCCATTTGCCTGATGGAGAAATTGAGGCCAGGAGGAATGATGTGGCATGTGTGGGGCCACAGGGCAGCAGCTCCCATGGACACCAGGAGCCCTGATGCCCCAGCTCACACTCTTGGTCACGCAACACTCGGCCTCCCCGTGTGGGATTCTGCCACATCCAGAGGGGAGAGAATGAGAAGCAGCTCAATTTACAGAGAGGACATGGCCGGGACCAGGTGGGCACCAGCCCCACAGCCTGAGCTTGTTTCTGCTGCTTGGAGATGCTGGGGAGTCTCATCACTGCTCATGTCTGATCATGTTCCAGTTTTTATCTCTGAAACCAAACCTTGTGTTGCCTCCTGAGAAATTCTAACTGTGGAAGGATTGATACTAGCCTATGAATTAATGGTGGGAGCAGGGCGGTGACGAGGCTTTCCAGGTGGGTGTGATCACCTGGAATGCCTGGTGCTACCACAGCCTCTTGCGCTTGGGGCAGTGCTCTGCTGGCTGGGGTTGGAGTGACTCGTGGCTGTTCTGATGGCTGGAGGACGCCTCCCTCCCACTCCCCCTTTTCCCCTCAGCACCCTCAGAAGGCACCTTGAGGTATATCTGTCAGGCCAGGCGCCACTCACTGCTGCAGGCCTTGTGCACAGAAGGAGGAGCGCAGTGGAGACTCCTGGGCCCTCCTGGTGTGTGGTTTGTTGTGGGGTTGCCAGTCCAGAATGCATCACAATGGCGTGTTGCCTCTGGGTTGTGGCAAGATGGTTTTTTGCACCGTATTCTGCCCAGTTGAATAATTTCTCTAGAACAGCGAAGTACGCCCTTTACTTATTCCTCTAACACTTAGCATGGTACCTTGGGTTTAACTGACGCTTAAGAAACTTTGAGCAATGGTGATTCATGAGGCTGGCCCACACGCAGGTGGCAGGGACAGGTGTGAGGGGTGTCTTTTGCCCTCCACCCAGGTGGTCCCTCCTTGATAATTATTGGATGTGCTTCTGTCCATCAGGAAGAGCCCCTTGTCCTTGGAACATCCGGTCCTTCCATTGCTCATCAGACATGAGTGGCTCTCGTGGCCTCAGCATGGCTTCCTGAATTCCTGCCACTGGGCGAGTTCAGATGTGCCCCCTCGGCATGCCCGACGCCAGCCTCAGCGCCCTCAGCCACCTCCTTCCTCCCAGCTCGGTGTTCCAGGCTCCTTTTACCTGTGTCCTTGGCCCCTCCCCGCACCCACAGGAAGACCCTCCCCTCTCTCTTCTACATCTCCCAACTTTCACTCTGCTCCTGGCGAAGGATGCACGTCCATGTCGCAGTGTATTTCTCTCCTAGTACTGACATGATCATGCTTTCCTAACCTCCCAGCTAATTAACTCCATGAGCCCAGGAATGTCCTTCTCATCTTGTCTGTTCCATATTCTTGCACATAGCTGATGTTCCTGGCCAGTTGGGTTTGATGGGCTAGTTTGAGAGCAGATATGGCTTCTCAGGACTCCACTCTGGCTACAGCTAGTGCAAATGCCGAGTATGGTCATAGGCCAAGGACGCTGGAAGGCGTTCTTCCTCTGTGGCTCAGTTTGTGGCCTGCATTTGGTGTCTGGCCCTTTAAGAAGAGTAGTTGGGAATCTTTGATGGATCCTGGCTGGACAAAAACCTGGATATTTATGGAATATTTGCATCATTCTAGACAATTTGTTATAGACATGTATCTATTCTATCATCTGTTAAATGAGAAAATGACATTAGCATGTGAGCGAGAGAGGCCTCAGAAGAGATGAATTTAATAGTGAATGAACTCAACCGTGCAGAAACATCTCAGCTCAGGGTGGCTCAGAGGGAAAATCTGTCCTTGTGCCTCAAGCCTTCACTGTCTGTACAGAATTTTTCCATTGCTGAAATATTTTATTCTTGTAAGGTAACTCTTCTACAAAGAAATAACTGCTTTTCAAAATCTCCAATTAAGTTCTTTCTTTCTCATGCGCTGTGTACGGGCGCGCGCGCGCACACACACACACACACACACACACACACACACACACACACAGTAACTGATAGCAAATGCTCAAAAATGGTCCCTTTGTTATTTTTTATTATTACTCGGAAGTGAGAGATGGAGATGGCAGGATACACCCTGCTGTGTGGTTGCTCTGGACGCCGTGGCCAAGTGTTTGCTCAGAATTGGCTGGAGTGGACAGTGGAGTGTGGGAAGCTCTTGTTTGTGAAGGTGTGACTATCCTCACAAACCACACTCAGCCTTTTTATTCTGTGCTAATCTGTGAGTTGGACTGGAAAGATAGGACGGCTCTCCGTGGCCCAGAAGAATTAATTTAATTTCTCTGTGTGTCTACTTAATAGGCGTGGGTAATATCCCGGTCATTTGTCTAGGAAGGACAGAAGCCAGCAAGCTCCTTTTGTACATTCCGCCTGCATCCCTGACGCTAACTAACCCATATGCAAACAGAAAGAACCCTTCCTATTGTTGCCTCAGAAACAACAGAGGTCTCCGCCAGCAGCCAGCCAGCAATAGACCCAGAAGTCACTTGGATTCTGTGTTTTCTGGCACAAAACCCAACGGCACACACTCGGGCTTTGTTCTCTGTGCTTCATTTTCAGAATGTTTTATGTCTCAGTAACAATTGGGCATTCAGCAGCCGTGAGCCATGTTGCCAGTCTGTTACTCCATCTTTGATTTTTAAAATGTGCGGTAGTTTTCCAAAGATCAATATCTGACATTAGTTGCCTTGTGCAGTGGCCAAAAAAATGATAGGGCTGTGACCTTGAAGAATTTTGGACTGGTTTTTCCTGCGGACATGTCTGAGGACAAAATCTGAGAGAGGTAATCTTTCATGTCCAACCATGTGCCCTCCTCCAAATGGCGCTGCCCAGGTTTCATCAATTCAGCGAGTGAATCTTTCCTGAGAAGCTGTGTGCCAGGCACTGCACTGGGTTTGGGAAGCTAAGACTCCGCAGGGAGCAGCAGGGTGAGGTGTAGTTCAAAGCAAGTCCGTCCACATGTGGCACCACAGCAGCCCACTCCCTCCCGTTTTGTCCACTTCTCTTTCTGGGACACTGTTGCAAGTTCCGTGATCTCATAACTGCTGATGCTGCCCTCTGTCCCAGCATGCAGACTGTGGTCAGACTTCACGGGTCACCTCTCAATATTCTATACATGACTGCTGGAGATGCCTCTTCAGAGGCTGGACAACCTACTGCCAGTGTGCTCTCAAGAGGACAGAATCTCGCTGTTGATGGGAGGTTGCATTAGCAGGCCTCTAAGGTCTAATGCTGATACTGTAGGATTATTTTTGAAGCCACAACAGGATAGAAAAATGAGAGACATACCAAGTTCCTATTTCAGGTTCCTATTTTCCCCTTCTTGATTAAGTGTATTGATCACCCTGCAATCAATATTATGTATCTGAGTGTGTGTGTGTGTTATGGGGGAAAGGGGTTCTTTAAAATTTCTGCGGTTTGTGGCTTTTTCTTCCATACATTAGTTCCCACCATCGCATGCCCAGGGACCACTGCCTGGCATCATCGCACGCTGGGATCATTGGGGGAGGGTAGTGAAGCTCACCACTGTCCTTTGTTTTGGAGATTCTTATTTTTGCATAAGTAGTCCATCCTATACAGATAGCTGACTACCTGTATTTCCCTTTCCTCTATGGCTGCAGGTGTGAATAAGCTGCATCTCCCCATTGGTAAACAGTAATAAACAAAATTTTTAAAAATGGCAAAAAAAAAAAAAAAAGCCTAGCATTGTTCCTAGAGCATACCAAACACTCCCTAGAGTGGTACTGTTATCATCATAATTATTGCACACAAAATACTTCAGTGATTTCTCTCTTCCCTCTCATTGTCATAGAGTCTGTTCTCTGATTTCCAACCTCCTACTTATGAATTTCAAAAGAAAAGGGGTCTTCTCTTAGCTGGCATCTCCCACAGTGTATTAGGCAAAATTGGCAGTTAAATATTCATTGAACACAGCCCTTATGCACCACACATATCTAGAAGGTAATTTTTAGGGACCTGTGTTGTGCCATACACTGTAGAGACCTGAGAGGCCTGAGGAAGAAGGCACTGCTTCTGGGAGCACATCATGCAAGCTTGCGTTCGTGGACCCGCTTTGCTTTGCCAGGCCCCTTCTAAGGCCTTTCATTAAAACCACTTTTGTGCCAGGACAAGTAGTTACAAGGAGGGTACAGGTGATGCTTTCAGACTTGGTCCTACAGTGGGCACTGCTGCCTAGCAGAGTGAGTGTGAGGCTCTCACAGCGTGTGGCTGCTTCCCCAGGGGTAAGATAAGATGGGTGAAGCCCATACCCCAGCTGGCAGTCACTGGCACATGGCTGGATCCCAGTACACTTCCCTCCTAATATGGTTTGGCTTTATGTCCCCACCCAAATCTCATGTTGAATTGCAATTCCCAGTGCTGATGGAGGGACCTGGTAGGTGACAAGATTAGGGGGATGGATGTCCCCCTTGCTGTCCTTGGGATGTAGTTCCCATGAGATCTGGTTGTTTGAAAATGTGCAGCACCTCCCCTTCTCTCTCTCTCCTCTTCTGTCTCTGTCTCTCTCTTGCTCCCCTGCTCCACCCTGTGAAGATGTGCTCACTTCCCCTTCGCCTTCTGCCATGATTGTAAGTTTCCTGAGGCCTCCATAGTCACGCTTCCTGTACCGTCTGTGGAACTGTGAGTCAATTAAATTTGTTTTTATCATAAGTTATCCAGTCTCAGGTAGTTCTTTATAGCAATTCAAGAACAGACTAATACACCTCCCCATTCGCCATCCTTCTAAACCTTATTATTCCAATGTCAACATTCACTCTAACATTTAAGATTCCTACAATGAAGAAATTAATGTCCTTAACTTTAGATTAAAAAGAAAAAAACTCAGAATATAGAGTTTCTCTGCTGTTTTCTGTCTAGGCATGGAATAGAAATTTGTGTGCATGAGTGTTTTCTCTGGGTGTAAATGACATGCTGGTGTTTCTGTTAGAGGATATCATTTGAGACCAACTCTCTATCTAAGAAAGACTCTCCAGAACATGCTGCTACATTTGGTGAACCCATTTACAGTGGTGGAAAAGCCACAGTGAAGTCTGTCTGTGGAATAGAAGTTCCATGATTTATAATAAGATCAGATCTGCAATCTATGAACTTTGATATAAATTCTTTAGGACCAATAATATCAGAAAAGTAAGATGTTCCAACTTGTCAAAAGTTTTTGTTTTTTATTTTTTTTAAAGACAGCTTTTTGAGGCTTAAATGACACACAATAAGCTATCCATCTTTAAAGTGTATAATTTGATAAGTTTTGATGAATGTATAGAAATGAAAACCATCACCACAATGAAAAGAACAAATGAATTTCTCTCAAAAGTTTTCTTATTGCAGATGCAGTTGCTGATAAAAAAAAGTTTTCTTATTTCATTTTGTAACTTCTTCTTTCACTCCTTTGTCCCAGCAAATACTCTAGATTAGTTTATATTTTCTAGAGCGTCATAAAATGGAATAATACAGTATAGACTCCTTTTATTCTGGCTTCTTTCATTCAGAGTCCAGTGGGATTCTCAAAAACAGCTACTGGAACTAATCAGTGAGTTTAGCAAGGTTACAGGATATAAAGTCAATATGCAAAAATATAAAAAATTTCTAGGTACTAGAAACTAACACATAGAAACAAAAAGATGCTATTTATAATAGTAGCAAATAATGTAAACTATTTAGGAATACATCCAACAAAAATATGTAAGACATTCACTGTAAACTTTAAAATATTGCTAAGAGAAATTAAAGAAGCTCTAGATAAATGGAGAGATATACCATGTTCATGGATCAGAAGATTCAAGAGTCTTAAGATGTCAGTTCTCCCCAAATTGATCTGAAGGTTTAATATGGTCCCAATTAAAATTCTAGCAGGATTTTTTTTGTATAAATTGACAAGGTGATTATAAAAATTATGTGGAATTGCCAAGGACCTACAATAGCCAAAACAATTTTGAGAAAGAGAAAAAAAATTGAAGGATGTACACTTCCTATTTTATGATTTATTATAAAAGTGCAGGGATCAAAACAATGTAGTTTTGGTGTAGAGAGAGAGAGACAGACAAAGGAAGAGAATAGAGAGCACATAAATAGAATCACACATATATGGATAATTCATTTTTGATAAAAGTACAGAGGCAATGCATTAGAGAAAGGATAGTTTTTTCAACAAATTGCTCCAGAAAAATTGGACATCCATTTACAAAAGGGAAGTTTAATTCATACCTCACACAACAAGCAAAGTGAACTCAAAATAGATTACACTTCTAAATGTAAAACCTAAAACTATAAAACTTCATGAAGTAAATGTAAGAAAATATTTATGACCTTGGATTAGGTAAGATTTCTTAGGCACATTATCAAAACACAATTATAAAAGAAAAAAAATTGACAAATTAAGCTTCATACAAATTAAGAACATCAGTTTTTCAAAAGATGTTTTTTGGAGAATGAAAAGTCAGGGCACAGACTAGGAGAAAACCATGCATCTAATAAAGAACATATATTTAGAATATAGAAGAAACACTTAAAGAAGATATGCAGATGACAAACTAGTAGTTTCCTAAGTGGTTAAACATATACATACCTCAAAGTTGCCGATCCACTTATCGGTATTTACTCAAAAGAAAAATCTCTTGTATATCCAAACAAAGACTTGTACATGGATGCTCAGTCTTTTTTTTATTGTTGTTGTTATTTTTTTGAGATGGAGTTTCACTCTTGTCACCCAGGCTGGAGTGGAATGGCATGATCTCTGCTTACTGCAACCTCTGCCTCCCGGATTCAAGCAATTTTCCTGCCTCAGCCTCCTGAGTAGCTGAGATTACAAGCACTCACCACCATGTCTAGCTAATTTTTATATTTTTAGTAGAGACGGGTTTCACCATCTTGGCTAGGCTGGTCTTGAACTCCTGACCTCAGGTGATCTACTCGCTTTAGCCTCCCAAAGTGCTGGATTACAGGCATGAGCAATTGCACCCAGCCAAATGCTCAGCCTTTGTAATAGTCCAAAGTGAAACAATCCAAGCGCCCCTCAACAGGCAACTGGGTAAACAAACTGTGACATATTGTACTGATGTAGTTTGGAATTTGACCCCTCCAAAGCTTACATTGAAATGTAATCCTCAATACTGGAGGTGGGTCCTACTGGGAAGTGTATGGGTCATGGTTGTGGGTCACTTACGAGTGGCTTGGTGCCCTTCCCATGGTCATGAGTGATTCTCACTCTCTTAGTTCAGGGGAGAACTGGTTGTTAAAGGGACCCTGCCACCTCCTCCCCTGTCTCTCATGCTCCCTCTTTGCCTTCCGCCATGATTGGAAACTTCCTGAGCCCTCCTCAGATGCTGGGCAGATGCTGGTGCTAAGCTTGTGCAGCTCGAAGAACTGTGAACCAATTCCACCTGTTTTACTTATAAATTACCCAGCCCCAGGTATTCCTTTATGGCAACACAAAACAGACCAATACACGTACAATGGAATACGACTCAGGAATGTAAAGGAATAAATATTGATACTTACAACAACATGGATAAATTTCAAAGTAATCATGCTGAGTGAAAGAAGCCAGGCAAAAGGATGCATACTTTATGCTTTCATTTATATAACATTCTAGAAAATGTAAACTAATCTACAGTGACAGAAAATAGGGCAGAGGTGTGAGGGAGGGAAGGATGATAAAGGAACATGAGGAAGCTTTGGGCTGAGGGACCTGCTCACTCTCTTGGTTGTGGTGATGGTTCCGTAGGCATATGTTTATGTCAAAACTCAAGTCACACAATTTAAATAAATGCCATTTATTGTATGCCAATCATATTTCAATAAATATATATTCTTCCATTTCCCCCTCAAAACTCTAGAGAAGTGCCTTAGGCAGAGCCTTCATGAGACAATGTATTTAATGCAGCCAGTGCAGGGCCTGATGTATCAGGTGTGCTCAATAAAGGGTCCTTTGCTTTCACTTTCCTTCCCACCCCATCAAAATATTCAGATTCCTGTACATCTAGTACAGAAACCTGTTGTTTTTCCTGTATAGATTCTGGTGAGTCAGAAAGGTACGAAGGTTTTGATCCTCAAAGGTCATGTGCTGCTATTTGTTTGGGACTGAAACTTTCCAGTGCTTTCACAGTATTTGGAACAAGACATGATTATCAGAAGTACATGTAGTTCAATGTTGAAATTTCATTTTTTTGAAATGCATCTGGGTTTTAAAAATGTAGTTATCTTATTGGGGCTTCTGCCTGGAGGCCATCTCGATCCAGGAAGCCTTTATTGAGGGCCCTCCAAGGTGTTTCTGATGCATAGAAAAGGCAGTTAAATGAGTTACAGAAGTGACCACCGGCTGACCACCTCCTTGCTTGGCTGTTGGCAGCTCTGTTCTTTGCCACCTCCTTCCTGGTAGGCTCTGGATGAGCCGCTGCTGTATACACGCCTCTATGTTGGCGTCTGTCCCTTGATCACTGTCACCGCATGTGTCTCCAGCAGTCGTGCCTAAGTGTGTCACAACATTTCCACTTCCATCCATTTCCGTGGAGGCTTCCTTCCTTTTCGGTGCGGAGAGGCACCACATGCTGCAAGTGAGCTATACAAGGGAGGCTCCAGAACGCCAGGCACCAGCCTTTGAACCTACATGGATGCAAAATGGAGACTTTTGCGTAGGGAGCCTTTGGTGAGACTTGTG